CCTAGGGAAGGGGGATAATGCTGTTTTTTGATGGAGGGTTATTTCTTATTGAACTCTGGTCTGCGTCAATAGTAATAACACTGCTCTGCCCTGAAGCAGCTTTCTTTGGTGAAGTTCAGAAAGGCAGGGAAGCTATGATAGCCCCCACAAGATGGGAAAGTGGAAATATCGAGGATATAAATGACTTGTTTGAGGACTCTCAGCAAGTCATCAGGAGAACTGGGGAAAGAACTCCGTCTCCACACCATAATAATGTGTAGTGAGACAAGGTGGTTCAAACCCCTGCCTCACAAAGGAAAACCATTAGGGGTGCACCGATAAAGATTTTTCTTGGCCGATATTGATAGCCAATTATTAACCAGCTATATGGCCAATACTCATTTGATAACCAATATTTAATAATAAAGCTCATCGAACGAGCTTTAGTTCAAGTGCCCCCACCGCCATTTCTAAGTGCAAGGACACTGATACAGGAGACACGGAGGCACTTTAATTAGAGTGGATCTCAGAGCTGCACTAATTAAAGCACTGTCTCCCCCCCCCACCCCCCCAAACTCCTGAAGCACGTGTAAAAGTGTCCCATGGCACTTGCAGCTCCTGCCCTTCAACCACAGCCTGGGAGCAGCTGCGTGAGCCTAAAGCTGCCCAGGGATGGACACCTTAATCCTTAATTCAAGCATATCTTGGTGCCGCTCTAATTAAAGCACCCCCCACCAAGGGGAAGGACCCTGCTGCATGGGGGTGGGGAGCAGCTGCCCCAGTCCATGCCAGGCTCTGCCCCTGGTTCCTGTGGACCAGACCCCAGGCACTGTGGGTTGAGTCATGCTGGGCTGGGCCGAGCCAGGCCAGGAAGCTCAGCTCCACCTGCTCCTCCCCACCCCAGTCATGTCTGCAGCTGTGAAAGATGAGGGTTTGGTCACAAAATGCTTCAACCCAGGATGCAGCCCTCCAAAGAACTCATTAGGCCTTTTATCCCAGAAAAAAGTGATAAAAGAAATAACTTCTGCATAATGCTCTAAAGATCAATAAAATTTGGCTACTGCTGGAAGGGGCCTCATGAATCACTGGGTCCCTTCCCCTGTATTCTCAGGTAACTGTTTATCCAAGGAACCCCAAAATCTCCATTTCAAATCCTCACACACAAGCAGCAAAGCATAATTTCCAAAGCACCACGAACAGTTTATAAAAGGCCATAGGTAAAAGCAGAGGAGACAAGGGAATTGTCAATACAGTGTCATTGCAACAACAGGGAATATATATTCAATTTAAGTGCTCATAGCTGGGAGAACTCAGCTCCAAATGTCAAAATCTTGGGGCTGTAGAGGAAGTTTCCTACCAGATTTTAAATGTCAAAATAGCACATAAGAGATGACACCTTTTCTTATGTGGCTGGGATCCAACCCATATAGAACTTACAACCAAAGCTCAGAGAGATGGTTAGTCATGTTAGTCTGAAGACAGGCAGAAGGCAGGACAGAACGAACACTCCTTTCATAGCATCTGACAGAGTAGGTTGCTCCCTACAAATGCTCGTGCCACCCTGTCCTACCTTCAACTCAAGGTCAGGACATTGAACTGTTCCTGGAAGCAATGAAACCAGTAAGAATGTAGAAGACTGGTGTAAAATGTTCTATAAGGGCCTCTACTGCTACTTGAGGAGGCAGCCAAGATGTCTTTGAAGACAGCCGCACAAAAAGGGCACACTGTACAGGCAGTCCTTGACTTACAACATTTCAAGTTACAATGTTTATAAATTGACACCTGGTTTCAACTTTGACGGCAGTTTCAACTTTACAACACCTGATCTGACGTGAGGCCACGCCAACGAACAAGTTCGCTACGTCGCCCATCTCCCTGGAGAACATCTGTCCAAACTTCCTTGGACACTTTCTTTAAAGCAGACAAAACTCCAGAAAAACCTGCAGCCAAGACTCCTGAGAAGACTCCAGCCAAGAACCCTTCAAAAAGTCCAGCAAAGTCACCTCAAAGAAGTCCTTCCAAATCAACACGATTGCTATTTACAATATAAATACATTAATGTAGCTATGTTACTCATCTATAATGGATTAAGTACAAAATCCTGGGTTATTTTTAGTGAAAATAGGGTATCGAGCCTTGGTTCAGGAACCAGTCTTGCATTTAATAACATTGTTTCCTATGGGAAAATCAGTTCTGAGTTACAACATTTCAACTTGAGACGCGGTTTTCGAGAACCAATTGTGTCGTAAGTCCAAGAGCTGCCTGTACAGTAATCCAGTCTGGACATCACAAACACACAAATAAATACTGGAACATTCACATGAGAGACATCCCTCTACCTACATGTAGGCAGACAAAAAGATACTCCCAACTACCAATTCAACTCATATTTTTAGTGAAAAGGGTACAGTGGCATTATCTGCATAGTGAAACATCAAAATATTTCAGTAGTTCCCCAAGCTTCACATGCTTTTTGGCTGGAGTAACAAAAGCAGTGAAAACCACCACATGGAAAAATCAGAAGAGCAGGTGGCTGTCCAAACTGGAATCTCTTTATCAGATAGAGCAGAATCACTTGCATGCATTCCCACCCACTGCAGTTGAGATTCATCAGCAAATCTCACAGTCAATGAAAGCACATCCTGCTAACAGATCAAAAAATCACTGGCATGGGCACCTGGGCAGTGCTCAAGAGAATGTCAACCAGCAAGTATGCGAAAATGAAATGCTTGATTTAAATTAGTGCTTTTGAAAATTCCCCATTATTAAAGCAGGGCAGGAACCGGTTTAGAGAATCTCAGTGCTAGCATCACATGTGGCATCAGGGACACTTGCTGTACAAGGTGGAGGGATATCAGCAGTGATGAAAGAGTGCTTCTTGCCTTATAAATTTTAGGTTGGGAAAAATTGATACAGTTTTCCTTTAAGGGACAGCAATATTTCTTCTCCTTAAGGTGAAAGTTGACCAACAGCATGGTGTGCTTGCAAAACAAGAGCTCACCTTTAAGCGTCCTCACATGAATGGGCAGATCACTCTTCGTACTGTACACGTCATCTCCCGGAGACTGTCTTCTCATTAAACTTGGATCATTCTGTACCAGCCAATCAGCCACTTTGCTCTCCGCTGAGATCATCTCCGTGTGGGCAGGTTCCTTACTAAAGGGTCTTCTTTGTCTGAGTGAAAATTTAGTAACGTGATCTTTTATCTTTATTTTACCAGGTGTACCGTCATCAAATTCAATGGTAAAAGAGGCATGGCTTTGCACAACAGGTGGAACTACTGAGTCAACGTCCTTGGTTGGGATCTCATGGACCTGCGTTTCAGGAGATTTGGCCAGCTGCTGAAATTCTTTAGTGGGGATTTCAAAGTAACTGGGTTCTCGTCGGAATGCATATACCGACTGTTCCTGGGAGTCTCTATAAGCATTAATGTTACCGTTGAGCTCTTCTTCATGTTGGGGCATCTCCTTTGTTCTTTCTACGGATTCAAAAACAAATAGAGAAAAACCATTAGATAATTCAATCATTTTTAAACAAAATACCAAAGTTAAGACATCTGGCAGATTCTTTTTACACAGTTGCAAATAACAGCACAATTACTTATCTGTGAATCTTTCAGTTGTGCACTGAGTAATGTGACTACCATCCATCACATTTATTTTCTCTCATCTATCCAAAGGAAAAAATTGAGTACGCAATGAAGTGTTCGGGTCTTAGTTGGATCTGCAATTTCAGTTTTGCTTTAGGTATGTTCTGGAGGGGAGGACTAGCACCGTCAGGTTTATTCCATTTGTGTGTTGTGAGGCGTTTGCGTACAGCAAGGCAGGTCAAACAAGGCACCTTTGGAAGGTGGCAAAGTCTGTGTTGGTCCTCCATCTCTGACACTGCATCCAAGATGGGGACTTACAAGGGGAAGAGGCTCTTCTAAGTCAGACTGGCTGACCTGCTCGACCGGGCTTTAAACTAAGCCCGCCAGGGGATGGGTGGATAACCGCCAATGCAAGCCCACTAGGCAACTACTGCATAACCAGCAAGTTAGGGCACCCAAGGGAATCCAAACCTACCCCAACCCTGAAAAGGTGTTCACCTGGGAGTGCAAGGAAGCCTAGAGCTTCCAATGGGACACTTATGTGTCTGTACACCAATGCCAGGAATTACAGGCCAGTCAGCTTGACCTCAATCCCCGGTAAGATTCTGGAGAAAATTATCAAAGAGACCCTTCTTGATAAGATGGCTGAGGGCAACATCCTGAGGGACAGCCAGCACAGGTTTGTTGCAGGTAGGTCTTGACTAACCAATCTCATCTCCTTCTATAATCAGGTGACATATCACTTAGACAAGGGAGGAGAGATTGACATCATATATCTGGACTTTAAAAAAGCCTTTGATCTGGTGTCCCATGTTCTCATCATGGAAAAACTGGCCGATGGTGGCCTCGGCTACACCACAGTACGATGGCTGGGAAATTGGCTCTGAGGTTGGACCCAGAGAGTAGTAGTCGATGGATGCAAATCATTATGGCACCCTGTGACCACTGATGTCCCCCAAGGCTCTGTCCTTGGACCAATTCTCTTTAACTACTTTATCAATGATGTGGACATTGGGGTTAGAAGCAGACTAGCCAAGTTTGCCGATGACACTAAACTTTGGGGCACAGCCTCCACACCTGAGGATAGGCTAGTGATCCAGGCTGACTCGGATAAGCTTAGTAAGTGGGCAGATATAAACCTGATAATGTTCAATACTGAAAAATTCAAGGTACTCCACCTTGGGGAAAAATACCCCACAGCACGCTTATAGGCTTGGCTGTTCTATGCTCGCTAGCACCATGGCTGAAAGAGACTTGGGGGTCATGATTGACCTCAAGATGAACATAAGCCACCAATGTGATGTCGCAGCTGGTAAAGCAAACAAAACTCTATCTTGCATCCATAGGCGCTTTTCAAGTAAATCTCAGGATGTCATCATCCCGCTGTATTCAGCCTTGGTGATGCGGCAGCTGGAGTACTGCATCCAATTCTGGGTTCCACAATTCAAGAAGGATGTCGAGAAACTTGAGAGAGTCCAGAGGAGAGCCATGTACATGATCAGAGGGCAACAGTAGGGCTTATGATGAGAGACTGAGAACCATGGGACTCTTCAGCCTGGAAAAGTGCAGGCTCAGGGGTTACCTGGTGGCTGCCTATAATTATGTAAAGGGTGTGCATCAGGATCTGGGGGAATGTCTGTTCACCAGAGCGCCCCAAGGGATAACAAGGAAAAGGAACAATGGTCATAAACTTCTCCATGATCGTTTTAGGCTGCACATAAGGAAAAATTTCTTTACGGTCCGAGCCCCCAAGGCCTGGAATAGACTCCTTCCAGAAGTGGTGCAGGCACTTACTCTGGACTCATTCTGGACTCATTCAAGAACCATTTGGATGCTTATCTTGCTGGGATCCTTTGACCCTAGCAGACTTCCTGCTCCTGGGGCAGGAGGCTGGACTTGATGATCTTCAAGGTCCCTTCCAGCCCTAATGTCTATGCCTATAAGATGTCTAGCAGCAACTAGTGGTGTGATGGTGAAGTAGGATGAGACTCTTTAAAAAATTAGAGCACTGGGTCTAGAGGACACGCATATAAAATCATAAGTATCAGGCAGCTTTTAGCCATAGGAAGATGTTGGTATCTGGCTTGCATGGGGTTAGAAAGTTTGCACACACTTGTACTAATTGATTATAAAAAAATCCAGCAGGCCTTTTGGTGTTGCCCATTTTGTGTATGTTGAATTTTCTTCTCAACAGGGCACCTCTGCTTACCCGAGTAATGTTCCTCCTGCCTTCTGTCCTCCTGTCTCTCTAGCTTGTTGTTTGCATCGTCCTCTCCCCACCAGGATGGCTGACCATAGAGCGGGGTGCGGTAAGGGGCAGTTTCTGGGAAAGGTAAAAGTGAGGTTAGAAGATCAACTATCACTGGAAGCTATCGGATTCAAACAACCAACTGTGTACAGCCTGCTGACAGGAAACGGAGAAAATGGAACAGATAAGAACACACCCCTGCCTAGCGCACAGTCATCAAACTAGTCCTGATCTCTAGTAGTAACTGCACTCAAGCAATTTTTCTGCACTGCACTACAAAATGTTGACTGAAAAATCACCTCTCCCTCCCCTCCTGTTTAGTTCATGTCTCGTGCTTTGCTGTTGGGAAAAAGAAGAAAGTAAAGAGAATATGTAATGCATGCTGTCTGCTTTTTTTTTGCATTTTAAATATTCCCTGCTGCGTTGTGAACCTAAACAGTATCGTTATGCTATTGCCTAGAAACTAAAGAGCAAATCTTCCTCAGCTCAGTGTCCAACCTGAGCAAAATGCAAAACAATAGAAAAACGGTGAAATAAATCCTTCCTGCTCTTCCTAGTTAAGCAAAGCTGGGTTAGCATGGGGGTTTTAGTTGTAGATGCCAGGCCTATACTGCTACAGTAGTGCTACAGTTTTGAAAGCTCTGGGAGCTTTGTGATAACCTGCAAGATTGAACTCTAACAGAAACAAAATAAAGAGGAAAAGGCAGAAATATGAGTAGGCCACCCACAAAGATCAAATCCTACTCACAGCACCAAGCCTGTGTAACATGCAATCTTATTGGGCAAATCTCCACTGCAGATTCTCTCCCATGATCCAGGCACCTCTCTGGAGTTAGCCCACAGCAAGTGTGAAAGTACTCATACTGCAAAGTCGGTCAAACTGCTGTAATGCTCTCCTCTCATGGTTAATGCCATGGTGAGGAGAGCCACAGCATGAATTCTTTCATGGTGTACGGTGCGAGGAATGTGTTCGCCTTGTTCAGCCCATAGGAGGAAATGTAGCTAGCTCAAGAACTCTTTAAAGTCACCCTGCTTTGGCTTGGCACACACCTTTTTTCTGCCAGTGGTCTTCATTCCAGCCGGCGGCCAGGCAAGGATCCTATTTTGACTCATGCCAAATGCGGGCATTAATGAAATGCCATGCAATGCTCAATTTCATAGATTTCATAGACATCAGGGCTGGAAGGGACCTCGGAAGATCATCGAGTCCAGCCCCCCGCCCAAAGGGCAGGAAGTCAGCTGGGGTCATAGGATCCCAGCAAGATAAGCATCCAGTTTCATCTTGAAGGTGTTCAATGAAGGCGCTTGAACCACCTCCGGTGGCAGGCTGTTCCAGACCTTGGGGGCTCGGACAGTAAAGAAGTTCTTCCTTATGTCCAGCCTGAAACGATCTTGAAGTAGTTTGTGACCATTCGACCTCGTCATCCCTTGGGGTGCTCTGGTGAACAAACGTTCCCCCAGATGCTGGTGGTCACCCCTGATAAACTTGTAGGTGGCCATCAGATCACCCCTGAGCCTGCGCTTTTTCAGGCTAAAGAGCCCCAGGGCTCTCAGCCTGTCATTGTAGGTCTGCTTCCCTGACCTCCTGATCATGCGCGTGGCTCTTCTCTGGACTCTCTCAAGCTTCTCCACATCCTTTTTGAATTGTGGAGCCCAAAACTGGACACAGTACTCCAGCTGCGGCCTCACTAAGGCCGAGTACAGGGGGAGAATGACGTCCCGGGATTTGCTTGAGAGACGTCCCGGGATTTGCTTGAGACGTCCCGGGATTTGCTTGAGATCATCGAGTCTGACCCCCTGCATAGGCAGG